AGCGCCCTACCGACCAGACTATCCCGGCCGCGCAATACTATCGTCATATGATTTGACTAGAACGGAAACTTAATTTATTTTAACATCTAAACAAGGCTGCGGAAATTGTGCAAGATATTATGATTAAACTAAGAATCAAATTTTCTGAGTGTATAAACAAAATCAATCAAGCTATTTTGTTTATTAAATTCTAAGTTAATTTACATTTTATTCGTATCTTTAATTTTTCTTCACGTGTTGAGTAAAATTGACTCAACGACTAGTTATTATTTTTTACAGTAATAAATCTTATTGAAGTTAAAAACATGAACGGTGTTAAGATTTAAGGTATTGGTATTATTTTGCAACGTTGAAAAACATTTTTTTTGAGAGTGTGTGAATGAAATCATTTAACAAGTTGTTTTAATAATCAAATTTTAGGTTTATTCATACCTTATTCTTATCTTTATTTTCATTCATTTATAAGAAAAAATGCATGTAAGTGATATTTTACTGGAAGCCAAATTTTCTGAGAGAGAAGGAAAAAATTAACTTACAACTTATTTTTTTAATCGAATTTTAGGTTTTGTCCAAGGTGACCAGATGTCCTCAAATCTTGAGAACGGAACTCGTATTTCCATTAGTTGTCCTCAAAAACTTTCAAACTCTTTGAGGACACAAAACGTTATCAAATCTTAATATATGTACTCGAATATCTAAAAAAATTTGAAATGCGCTTGTTTTTTTAAACAAGATATAATTTTGTCTGACAACGAGTACAAGCGAAAAATAAAAAAGTTCTACGCTAAAACTAACATATGGAAACTCCATACTCGTCTGAATATAATTTCATAAAAAAATAAACTAATAGTTTGACACACACAGTTATTAAACGTGTATTATATGACAGAACTGTCCAAACTGCTAATTAATAATGAAGTTAGTTTGATGTTTTGTTCTGCATTTGATATTAGTCATAAATTTTTAAAAAAAACTTTGTTGTACATACAAATTAATGTTTTCTATAAATATATGGGTGTCCTTAAATCCCAAAATATTTCGATGATGCTCCTCTAATTAGTTCTAAATCGTGGTTTAAAAATCTGACCACCTTAGTTTTGTCCTACTTTATTCTCATCATTCAGTTTCTTTCATGTGTTGAATAGAATGCAGTCGACCAATATTGTTTTTAACTACCCTAGCAACCATTTTACATCGGCCTCAGTTGGGCTCAATATTAGTCCTACGTGAACATGTACCGAGGAACCAATATTGAGATCTCTAGATTTTTCTTCAATATTGGTCTTATATTAGCCCCAGTTTGGCTGAATATTGGTCCCACGTGAACATGAACCGAGGAACCAATATTGAGATGTCTAGATTTTTCTTCAATATTGGTCCGATATTAGCCCCAGTTTGGCTCAATATTGGTCCTATATGAACATGTACCGAGAAACCAATATTGAGATGTCTAGATTTTTCTTAAGTATTGGTCCTATATAGGGCCAATATTGGCCTATATACAATTTATAAAGGCCCTCTATTGGCTGAATTATGAATATAAAATGTACGGGTGAATCAAACTATTCTATATAGGGCCAATATCAGAAAATAACGGCACTTTGCTTACTGAGCCAGGATTCGTAAATATTGGTACAATAAGAGCCCAAGTTATTTTGCTGGTAGGGTATGTATTCCAAATAATATTTTTTTTTTTTTTTTTTTTTTTTTTTTTTTTTTTTTTTTTTTTTTTTTTTTTTTTTTTNAGCTTTTGATCCTGATACTGGCGACACAATCGGAAAATTCATGGAAGGAAATGGTCTACATGACATCGAGAAATGTTCCAGTATGACTCATTCTGATCCAAGCGACAAAAAATCAGCTACTCTTATCTGGATTGCACCAGATGACAAATCTGGTAAAGTAAATTTCAGGTAAGGCATAATCGTTTCACTAAAAGTTACGCATAAATGCAGAAGAATTAAAATGCTATATTTTGATGGAAAAAAATAGGAAATTTTAAGTATCTCTTTGTGTTAGATTAAAAGAGCACTAAAATAACAACTTTCCCAACTTCAATGCAAGTTCAGGTAGAGACGCCTAGCACCAACCCTACGGGTGAAACTAGATCAGTTGACTTTCAGCAGACAATAATTTGTATGCACTTTCTTGTGCGCTAAATTCGTTTTCCTTTTCAATTTTGTGGTTTACAACAATTAATTAGGTACTTGAAACACTAGAAGTGATTCTGGTTATGCCCAACCATGTGGTTCAAATCTGATTTAAATGGATAACTGTAAATGACATTACGCGTGTATGTTGAACCCGATTGGCTTCTGAATCAACAAATGCCACAATTTACCTAATAGGACTTCACGTTTCATATACACGGGACTTCACATGTATGTATCTAATTGATGTACGGTTGAAAGTAAAGTACATTTAATTCACGTCAGTATGGACACCCCCAAAATAATTCTAGAAATTAATCATCAGAGCAAAGTAGTTTTTAATATTTTCTCCGTTTCACACGAAGAAAACTCGTCATTTGTATATTTGCGATTCGCATATTGCTACAAATGACTGATTATCAAAAGATGGCGCAATTCGGGCAGTGGCGGTGTAAGTAATGGTGGATGAATATTTATTAAGATAGTATTGAAAAAGTTGAAAAATCCTCACTCTCTTTGTTATTTCTCTTGCGTTTTACAAATCAACTTTTACCCTATAATTTTATTAAAACTCGGTTAATTTTGTTAACAACAGATTAAGTTAAATATTGAGACATTTTAACTTACGTCACTTCACTTACCTGGCAATTGAAAATTAATCAATCAGTTCCTAGTGCAGTGTATGTACCACTACAAAAATACAATCGCTATTCACTAGTATGTAAGACATGTTAATCCGACTCTATGTCGGGGTACCTTTTCACAGATGAAGGTTGGCATTTTCGATACCAACTCACCCCCACATTGGTGACCCGAAAGTGATGTGAACACGTCCACCTTGGGAAAGAAACTCCCATTCTGATACGAACACGCCTACCTTGGCAGAAACGCCCACAACGATTTGAACACGCCTACTTCGATGGATGGTCCACATTGAACAGTTGACTTGCTACCTGTGACTGCAACATTATCCACCTCCTCGCGCTGTTACTACTCAGTTTCGATCTTACATAACGTACAACGTATACACTCGACTGCTAAAGGCAGGACAGGAGCGACCATGACCGTGAACTTAATACAGCTCTCACGATTAGCACTCAAAAAGTACGGTGATCTTAATACAGCTCTCCCGGCTTCTCACAAAACTGCAATGAATCAACTAGGGGTATTCGTTCATCGAATTCTATCACAGATATAATTCTAGTGGGGGAGTACTGCAGTGTATCTAACACTACAAAAATACAATCCCTATTCACTAGTATATAAGACATGTTAACTTGATTCTATGGTGGGGTACCCATACCCATACCTGCCAACTTTTAATACTTTCAAGGATGATTTTCCCCAGTGGTAGTAAATTTAAATTTAAAATGCAATTTTATGCAGTAACAATCGCTGTAATTTGAACAAGCTTATGCGGATTTCTTCAGTAGTATTGCATATTAATATATATGCATAATTTTTCTAAGAATAGTGGTGGATTAAAAATGTTATAAATTAAGTTTATAACAGCAAAGAATATATAGAAAGCATATATTTTACTACCACTTTAAATATAGAAATAAAATTTTATGCCAAATGCGTAAAAGTTGGCAGGTATGGATCTTTTCATAGATGAAGGTTGACATTGTCGATAACTACTATCCCCACACTAGTAGCAACAAATACGAAAACGTTTCTTCTGGAATAGATTTAAGAATCGTCCAATGGGATTAGGCTTACCATTCACAACGTCAAGATTATGGCAATTGATTGAATTATGCTAGTCAAGTAGCTTAGTTCAACCTCCGGATTGAACATCTGCTATTTGAGGGGTAACTAGATAATTAAGTTCTGAATATAAAATAAGCAAATTTTAAAAAAAAAAATAATGAGTAAAAGTATTTTACAAGATTTATGTTACTCAAAAATAATTTAATTCCATTTCAGAACCACTGTTGTCAAGGAATTCAACATGTTTTGGGTGAGAATGTTGGCCAAAGTTGAACCACTCCCGTTTTCTGCTGATCAAACTTCAGTTGACAAAGTTGACAGTTCGTGAACATACATAAAAACAGAAAATAAAGCTTTTATTTAGTACTTATCAATAAAGGTTTATACGACTTTCTCGTAAATAAAAATAAATATGCTTTATTTTCCAAACAGTTTTGGTTTCAGTAAATAAAAACTATTACTTTTCTGATGCAATATATCTCCTACATTCAGCTTCAAAGCTAAACCAAACCTTTCAACATTTCGCTTGTATTAATATACATATAAGAGTTGGAGCGTTATAAATAAGAATACTGCACTTTAAAATATTGTACTAGTTCCTCAATTTGAGGAGAGGTCATTTGGCTTATGAACGTGTTTATGATTTTTGATGATTTAGGGTTTTTATTAGAATTTCGCGTAATGGACCCCATCACGGGGATATTGACATATAATTATAAATTTTAAGACCCAAAATAAATTTAACCAACACATTGTCTTAGTTAAAATGATGAGTCCAAGGTTGTTGTAATTAAAAATTAGTTTCCTTTTTTAAGATGCTAATGGTATAAGCAAGGTACTAAGGTACCTTGCTTATGCTTATGGTATAAGCAAGGTAAAAAAGTAAGCAGCAAAACGGCTGTAAGCAAGAGTTCCAAAATTTTTAATGACTGTAAGCAAAATCAACTGTCACGGTAGCCTCGAGACCTATTATCTATTTTAAAATTACCATTGCTAATTAAATATTCGTTATTGTGCAAAATATATTTAAAAAAATAGGTATGCAAAGTGAGAAAAATCAGTGGATTAACAAATGATGAAAAGGGGTAGAATATAAAATAATCCACATAAATAGAATAAAAATCATGTATTATAATGTATGAAATAAAGGGTATATTAAGCCTAATTATTTGAATTAGGCCTGATAAACAAACTAATGTTTAGGGCTAAACTTATAGCCATTTTGCTACCTAGATACCTTTTTTTTTTTACTATAGCTAGAGAGTTTGATGCCGTTTCAAAGTACTAAAAATTAGTATGAAACTTATCAGTAGTTTCACATAAACATCGAATATTATTATTTTTTTTTTCTTAAAACTTTTTATACGTTTTTCAAGCTTGTAGTTTATTACAATTTGAGTACCCAGTGAATTTGCAGAAAACAGAAATATACTTAAAATACTAAAATAATAATAACTAATATTGTTAATCATTTAAACCCCAATTTAGTGTTAAAATGTGACTTGGAATCAATCATCATCATCAGATCTTCGAGCCCTTGAATTGCGCAGAATACACGAGTATATTAGAACTAATTGTAGATAGTGCCCCCACTTCACCGGTCGTGGGAAGTATACTTACCACCACTTTTAATTTAGATTTCCATTTGTTAATAACTACAGCTTTCTTGAAGTGCGTTTGAATAAAATTGGTGACCATTTGTTAGTTTAAAAAAACGTATAAAAGTTACAAAATACATAATTCTTTTTGAAGTTTGTACCATTTGTAAAATTTATTTTATAAATAAAGAAAAAATAAAAGTCTATAAGTACCTAATAGGTCGTGTTAAATATATTTACCACGAAACAAATAACATTTTTCTAAACTAAATGAGTTTTTTTTTTCCTTATAATTCTTAAAACAATTTCAATTCAAAAAATACATTAATTTGCCTTTACTAGAAATAAATGGCCCATTAAAGGGTTAAATCTAACTTTATTACACAAAAAAAGGTGCAAAAACATTCAAGCAAAAATACACTCACATTTAAGAATAAGTAATAAAAAAATAACTGTATCACAATTGAAAAAACTGAAAAGTTAAATATAGATGCCATCTTAAAAATTTTTTTGTTCTTCCACACAGTAGAGCGAAGAACGGAAAAGATGACGAATCCATGTATCCAAATGGGATTTGCACAAAAATAACACAACACGACAATGATGAGGCTTCCTGTTCGGTATCTTAGATATTTCCTGCTCTTTCATTTTCCACGCAAATAAAAAAATCGCCCGTTTTATGCTATTTACAGTTAGAAATGTAATTTTCTTTATAACCCGGTAACTTCGGCTTTAAAACATCATAATTGCATCGGGCTATTGAATGTCAGTGTGAAGTATTTTATTGAGCTATTCTATTCTTTATTTCCTCGTTCTTTGAATAGCATTTTGAGATTTAATACACAAGCGCTTTAAGGATGTGAGAGATTAAAGTTTAAAGCCCACAATTAATTTTAGAGTTATTGGTATTGAATATATATGTTTTCCTATTGTCTCCAGCTTATATGATAATGCAAAAGAAATAAATTAAAGAATCACCCTTAATAACTTTTAAACCAATAAAAAGGTGTATTAGGTTGCTATAAGTTATATTGCCCTAAGTGTGTACCTCTTAACCCTCTGAAGCAGATGGGACAAAGGTGTCCTTTTTATGCATTTTTTTCTGGTGCTCTAATTACAAGCAAAATTATATTTAGGTATTTTTTTAATTATAAAAAACAGTCTGATAGTTACTGAAAAAAGATCTGCTAAATTATTGGAATTGTATTTGTGCTAAGTATAACTAAAATATAAAATTCAAAAAAAGTAGTTTGATTTTTTTTTCTCATTTATATTCAATAATTCATAAATAATTAATTTTGTAAATTAAAGAAATTTTACTTATGAATAAATGTTTCTCTTAAATCTAAATAACTGCAAATGTGTGCAAATTTTAGAAAACTATTGCTTGGAATATTTTACTTTTAACGTAGAAAAAGCACCAGAGTTCCATATTTCATAAATAGTTATTAAAATGCTAAATATAATATTTTTCACTAATTTTGACCTAAATTATTACAAAATATTGAAAAAAGTATAAAAAATGTTTCATAAAGATTCTGCGACAGAGGATTGAAAGAACACTATACCGCTGGAGAAACCCTTCATGGTGAATTAATTCTGCTTCACCAACGTTTGTAATTTGAAATACAGTGAAACCTCTCGGTAAGGGCCACCTGTCGTTCCATTGAAAATTGGCCCTTATGGGGGGTGGCCCTTAAATGGGGGTGACCAAAAAATAAAATGAGGAAATCAAAATTTATGTAGAAAAAAGCTGTTAATTAACATTTTAAGTTTTTATACATGTTTAAAAAAATTTTAAATTGAAGTTTGTTTACTTTTTACAATTTTTTCGCNCACGGCGGGATTACTGATTACTTTCAAAGAGAAACAGATTATTTGTTTACCGTTTTACCGTGATTAGTAGTAGAATAGACTTGAAAATTTGATTTTTCAGATAGTAGTTAGTGGCCGGTAGACTCTCATAACTTTTTCCTCAAGCCTAATCACTCAGTGACCGGTATCGATAAGTTCTTTTCATTTAATGGCCACTTTTTGCAAACTTTTTTTCCTCTTGGTTTAAATTATATTTCTTAAATAAATTCATATTAAGAATAATCTACGGCCATAAAAAGTTAATTAAATAATAACAATAACATAAATATCTGGATGGTGTCTATGCCTAAAACATATGATTAATTTAAGAGAATGTGAAATTACTATACATGTATGCTACCTCCTGATAGATTTGAATTATTGACCCTCAAAATAAAAGAACTAATTCACTATGTCTCTTTGATTGTTTGAATCGAAAACATTTTACACACATTTATAAAATTCGCTTGCCTAAAATTATATTTACTTCAAATTGAGAAACAAAGAAACTCAAAACTATTTGAATTTAAATTGTGTCTTAACAAAATTATACTAGAAAAATAAATCAAAATTTTCGAAAAAAGAAATCTATTGAATTTGAAAATTCATATGGTAATTTTGTCAGAACTCTTAATTCACCTTAATAATTGCGTAGGTAGTTTTTCCACTTTCGTAATCTGGTTCTATAAATTTAAAATAAATCTTGATTTATACATCTGGTATTCAAATCAGGTTTCACGGTCTCATTTACTAACTCTTGTGGAGAAAAAGCATTCAATATTAAAATATTTCCTATCTATTATATTGAAGTAAAAAAAAAATAATAATAACATAGTACATACAATTTTGCCGCACTAAATTGAATCTAGGTTAACTTTTAGATTTTTATTTTCTCGTTGATATTGTTTTCAGCAAGCTTTTGCTGATAGAGTATTATTTTACAAAACTATACCTTAAGAAAAAATGAGGTACAAAATTTATGCTGTTCATACTTCCGCAAAGATTATTCAATACTATAGTTTTTTTTTTTTTTTAAAGATTATTTCAAATTTATTTTTGTTTTGGTCTAATTTGTATTTGGATGAAGACGAAACATTTTTTTTATACTTACAATTCTGCTCTACTGCCAACCATTTTCGCCACACCTAAAGTGGTTTAAATTTAAATATTGCAAAGTAGAATAATTGAATTTTCATTTCCTTGTGATTAATTATTATGTAAAAATTAATTTGTAAGATACTGAATTGAATAAGTCGCTGCGTTGGCGTAAATGATCTACGGAATAATAACTAGTAATCCACTTTTTTAATTACGCAAAAACAAAACATGTACTTAATTGTTGTTCTAAAAATGCTGATTGAAAGATATTTATGTTACCATTTAACATGTTACAATGTTATATGTTGCATTATACATATTATGTAATAATTTAGTGAAAAAATAAAATCTCGAGGAAATCAAGAATAACGCCCATCAATAGATACTGTCGATTAGAGTGATTATTAATCAACAATTTATTTCTGAAAATAAAATAAAAATAAACATAAATACAGGGTGTTTATAAAGTCCCGGGCCCATTTTGATGTTTAATAACTCATAAAATAATAAAGATAGATTAAAATTAATAACATAAATGGTTAGATAGACTCAAAAACTTTCATGAACCTTGTCAATGAACTTCCACGTGTGCCCCCTTCGTCGCACGGAGAATATCAAGTCGATAGTCAATTTCACGCCAGGTAGCGGCAAGCATGTCGGCATCCACAGAGGCTATTGCGGTTGTAATTCTGGCTTTTAGGTCATCAATGTTCGACACGATCCTCCTGTAAACATTGTCCTTTATAAATCCCCAAAGAAAAAAGTCCAGCGGCGTTATATCAGGTGATCTGGGTGGCCAAGGAATTGGACCTCCTCGCCCAATCCATCTTCCTGGAAAATGGTCATTCAAAGAACTACGAACGAAAACTTCGTATTTCC